ACCGCCCACACAGTCTTTCCGCCGTAGGCGGGATGACAAACACCGGAATCTAGTCTTATATAATAAAACGCTAATAACGCGTATAAGATCCGCGGGGAGCGCTCACGGCACTCCGCGTTTCTTCCATGACGACCAATCACAATACTTCCCGCGCGTTCGCTATAAATTCCGCTCGCTTATCTCCCTTTTCCTTATCGATCCTAATATTTTCGAACATTATTATTATTATTAAAAAAAAACCCGTGTTTTTCAATTTTTTGACGTGATAATAACGTCTTATAAATCGATTACCCCGCGACCGTCCCCCCGACCCATTAAACGAGTAATTATTTTTGACCAAGTATAACTTAGCCGGTATTCGACTTAGAGACCCCGTACCAATGGGCATCTCAATTTTTTAGGCCCCAGATGAATTTTCAACATTAGGGAACCAAAGCCCCCACCCCCCCCACATTTTGAGTTGAGTATAACTCGGCCGGAATTCAAGTTAAACACCTCGGACCAAGGGGGAACCCATTCTTTTTATGAATACTACCGTTTTCCGCTTTAGGGAACGGGGGCACCTCCTCCCCCCCTTTTTGGATTTTGCTTTTTTGATGGATTTTGGTCCGGGAGAATACTAACACCCACCTCGCCAAGGGGAAACTCGGGGTTTTGAGTTTTTGATAGGATTTATTGGGATTTTCTTAAATATTGTTTTTATTGATAAGGAAAGTGATAAGAATTTTATTTTATCGCCGCGAGCACGGCGACGCGGCTTAAGAGTCATACATTTGCCTAGGAATTTCATCTGAGTAGGTGGCTAGGTTGGTTAGGCGTTAGAATAAGTGACTCGAGGGTCGTGGGTTCGAACCCGGCCTCTGGGATTTTCGATAATTTGCGCCATCCGTGATAAATTGAATGTTTTTTTTTCGAGTTTTTTTTTTCGTCACATTTTTTTTTTTTTGGCAGAAAAATATTAATATATATTAAAGTAGATATTTTAAATTGTAACTAAATTGTATAATGATACTGTACTATTTTATAAATAATAATAATAATACTTGATTTTACCGTGACCAACGCACCTATATGTTTCTTATATAAATATAATATAATATAACTAACCTACATGTAGTAGGTACCTACTTGATATATTACAGTTTTTAGGTTAAATACTGTTTAATACGGTATTAATAAACTAATAGATCTAATAGAACTGATTAAACTCTGGCAGTTAAATAGTACGACTATATGACTGCTCTTTTTGCCGTTTTTTTTTGAAAATTATAGTTTTAGCCCCTTTCGGTCATATCACCCTCCCCGTCGACTACTTATTCGCGTTCCCTGCTATATTTATAGCCACAGACGAGTCCCGGGGTGGAGTAGTGTGTCGGAAACGAGAGTATGTACCCATGTAGGTATCGCTATATACAGGCATATATACGCATGTATATACATGCGCCTCGAGGTTCGATTTTTTTCGCAAATCTCGCGTTTTGAACGTCCGAAGGTGGCGGACACGGTGGTCCGCTCAAACGCCCTTAAGAGTCATAGATTTGACTCCTAATTTCATCTCGGTAGGTGGCTAGGTAGGTTAGGCGTTAAAACGGGTGATTCGATGGTCGTGGTTTCGAACGCCGGCGGGGCCGTGTTAAATCGAATTTCTTTTTTTTGCGTTTTTTTTTTCGTCACATTTATCATTTTTAACGAAAGTGTTAATTTTTTTTTTAAATTTGCATTATTATATTATATATATTATTATTATTCGTTTGACGATATTTATTGGGCAAAAAAATAATTATAATTAACATTTACCGACGCACCTACATGTTTCTTTTAATAATACATTATAATATAACTAACCTACGTGTAGTACCTACTTGATATATTACAGTTTTTACGTGATTCCGATTTGGTTAAATACTGCTACAGATTATAAATACTATATTAAAAAATAGTACGACTGTAATATGACTGCTTCATTTGCCGTTTTTTTCGAAAATTCGAGTCCCGGGGTGGAGTAGTGTGTCGGAAACGAGAGTATGTATAGTGTATTCATTTATAGATACCTACGTTTAATAGGATAGTATTACATTTCAATAAAATTTGTTATTCACCAATATAATTATCTATTTGTTAATTTGACTTAATTCTCATAATTAAATAAATATACAAGGTACCTAGGTATATTTTAGAAAATATCCAATCAGAAAATTAGATTTTGTCGACTTATTTGTTATAACCGCGAAAACATAACAATGATTAAATAAATTACAGTGAAGCCTAACATAAAACACCTGATAACTGTTCTCTATAATTATCAACAAAATAATACAATTTTATTACCTCCTGTATACTTTTTCATATTTGAACGGCCGTTTCGAGCACTTTTCGCTGTAGGCGGATTGTCCGTTCGGGAATCGGATTTCACCCGAGATGACTGATAACTAGACACTCAAACTCAGAATCCGAATTTCCGATTTCAACACACACACACCAGAACCGGACATACACGCCCGGTGCATGGTCTGCGATCCGACGTAGTCGGATTGCCTACCTGACTAGCTACTTGCATACAAGCGACTTACACCCCCACTGCATCTGACACTCGGGAATCGACTTTCACCCGAGATGACTGATAGCTAGACACTCAAACTCAGAACCTGAATTTCCGATTTCAACACACATACGAGAACCGGACATACACACCCGATGCATGGTCTGCGATCCGACGTAGTCGGATTGCCTACCTGACTAGCTACTTGCATACGAGTGACTTACACCCCCACTGCAACCGACACTCGGGAATCGAGATGACTGATAGCTAGACACTCAAACTCAGAGAACCCGAATTTCCGATTTCAACACACATACGAGAACCGGACATACACGCCCGGTGCATGGTCTGCGATCCGACGTAGTCGGATTGCCTACCTGGCTGGCTGTGTCTTACGATCGACTTGAATCGCGTGACTTACGACTAGACACTCTTCCGAGTTCAAAAATTACCACTTAACCAGTGCTGCCAACACGACAAAACACAATACCCGACGACCCCCCCTTCCCGACGCAGGCTGGATCAAAAAACCCAGCATCGCCGACAAAGATGCACCACCGCCCACACAGTCTTTCCGCCGTAGGCGGGATGACAAACACTGGAATCTAGTATTATAATAATATAATAAAATACATTATAATCTAAATTATTTATACTTATTATTAGATTTAGGACAATAATTGGTTTCCATGATAGCCAGGTTTTAAATTTAGATTTAAAAGTAGGTAATATATGTCTCAATCAGGGCCGGACTGGAAGGGTTTTGGCCCACTATTTTCTGTAAACAACCGGCCCATTTTCCTACATTTATCGGCCCAACTTAAACTAACAACAATTTTTTTTTTCTCAATGGTATAGTAGTACAAGAATTATGATTTAGGAACTTTTTTATGTTGGATGTTGGTTAGAAAGAAAATGTAAAATATATCAATATACATATGGGTATAAATCAGTTACACTAAGTACCAGTATGACAAATTAATCAATTAAATCTTATAAATTATATATTTATGTAATTATGTGTACGATAATAATTTGGATAAAGTATGATAGGTAATTTGAATTTGTTATAATGTCCAAAACTCCAAAATATCTTCAAACTCTAAATCATTCAATATATCTTTTTCTACAGACATTAATAAAAAAGCATCAAAGCGGTCATCTAATGAAGCACGTAGACGATTTTTGATAATTTTTAATTTGCTAATTACTCGTTCACAATTAACCTGAGATACCGATAATGTTAGTACATATTCCATGGTGGCATATAAATTAGAATAAGTAGGCAAATGTAAATTAACCAAATGAAGTAAATTAAAAACACTAATTACACAATTCTCTAAGGCATATATAGCTTTTACATCATGGATAGAACTAATAGTGTTCATATTCAGATCCTAAAAAAAAATTTTTTTCATATAAGAATTCTTAACAAAAATATTATAATACCAATAGGGTAAACTTGAATAAATACTATAGCAGTAACTATAGCAAATACTTCAAAAATATCTATAATAATAATAGGGTAATATTTGGACAATAATATTTTTATACATTGAAAACGCAAGTGACCGAAAACAATGTTTATGTTTTTTGGTACTCGAGAACTTCCTTTAGAATATTTTTGTATTGTGAATAGTGTAATGTTGGGTAATTTTTATTTACAGTCTTTTAATTAGTTTTAAATGAAAATAATATAGCAAATTATAATAAATCTTCAATTATTATATCTTCAAAAAATAAAAATATATATATATATAAATATTTTATGTATTGATTTACGTTACAAGACCTATTGCCCAAATTAAAAATCAAGTATAAAAAAAAATAATATTGTTAGACCAGAAAAATAAAATAAATATCTTTCTTACAAATTCAGAAAAATTACGAATATAATAAAAATTGATCGCATTTCAAAGGTCATAACTTTGGTTAAAAACATTTTTATAGACCTCAGAACCTATGTTTCAATTCAGTAGGATACAGGGATGAAAAAAAATGTGAGTTTTCTAAATTTTAAAATAGTCAATTAAGACCGCCTAACGTTCACTATCAGACCACTGAGGGCTGTCATCTCAGTGTTTATTTTTTAATATTTCCACCATGTTTTTGTGATAATATTTCCAACTGCCGAACACTCAGTAAATTTGCACTGATTCGTGTCATTGACATAAAACATTTTAATTACATATCTTAAATTGAACACAATACTAATATATTATGTGGTGCTACCTACTAAGTTCAACTAGTAAATGGTCTGTAAGTATAATAAGATTGATTTTAATATTTATGCATTTTATTTTGACATAACCGTAGATTGCGGCCTACTGTGCTGTAGAATAGTAGAACAGTGGCCCAGTCCGGCACTCTCAATCTTCAAAACACCTACAGCAAAAGAGTAGAAATATTTGTGTTAGAAAAAAGTATGCAAATAAATTAAACAGTTCACTTTTTTAATAAATTACCTAAGAGACAATTCATTTCTTTTGTCTATACCATTTCTTTGTGTGACTGCTATTGGAACATCTAGATTTTGATGAAATTCATCAGTTTGAATGTCAAAGTCTTGGTCAATATCTTCAATCTCAAATAAGTCATTGTTCTTAAGAGCCAAATTATGTAAAATACAAGCACCAGTCACAATAAGACTCATTAATTCAACTGACTTTGATTCTAGTGACCTGAAAAGTGAGTAATGTTTTTAGTTTTCTTCTGGTACCATTATTATATTAAATATCATTATAAACTAAATAAACTACATAATAAACTTATAATAAACTATATTAAATTAAAAATCATTACTTGAGTCTTCGAAAACGCCCTAGTAACAATCCAAAAGCTTGTTCAATAACCACTCTAGTTGAACTTAATCTTTTATTGAATAATTTTTCTCTATCTGACAATATGTGGGTAGCCTTGTATGGTACTAAAAGGTTCTCGAGTAATGGAAACGCAGAATCACCAAGAATATGAAGATTTTTAGAAATCATTTCTTGATAATTGTTTATTAAAGTTTCTCCTAATAAAGAATTTTTAAAAACTCTAGCATCATGCGAACTCCCGGGCCACCCAGAAAATATGTAGATAAATTCTAAATGAGCATTACAAACAGCCTAAGAATTTAAAAATAAATAATTAGGTTTTTTCTTAAATATAATTTATAATTTATAAATTATACCAGTAGAACAATTGACTGGAACATTTTGCGGTTGGTGTAGTCACTCCTTTTAGCTTTTGCTGAATGCATGCGTATATGGCAGCCGTCAATACATCCAATAGTATTTGGTACATAATTAATTCGTAAGTTTTTAAAATCTTGTACAGTTTCTTAAACAAAAACAGTTGAATTAAATTATGTTAATGATTACAAAAAATCATGATCTACTTGTTTCTGAACTTCCTCTAGGCCATATTATGAATTCATCAAGAAGGTTTGACAGTGCACGTACATATTAATGTATAGTACGACACGCATTCCCTCTATTTAACCCGAAACGATCACCAACTTGACTGTAAAATGGTCAACAAAAATAAATATTATTAAATAATACCTACCAAAATAAATCATTTTTGTTAATTACCGAAATGTCTCAGTGTTACTTAAGTACCAAATAGTCATTAGAGTAGCTTTCTGAAAATCAATCCCAGGTCTTCCTGCTTTTATATTGTGAGACTTATACAAAGGTTGCATTTTACACATTAAAACATATATTACAAATTATATAAAAAAAAATAATATATAGTAAACATGAAGTATTTTCTAGTAATAATATTATAAATATTATATAGGTAAATGTAATTTAATTACCTCAACTGAATTTCTCGTGAGTCTGAAATGACTTTTAAAATCAATGTCATCATATAAACTTGTCACTAACATGAAATTTGTGATACGAGCTTTCGCATTTTTCGAGAGCAGTTGAATTAATAACTTTTTCTTTTTATCTATAGATTTATTTATATTTTGTAGGTGATTTAAACTTAATAATAACACTAAATTATTATTCATTATTTAAGAATTTGATCACCTTCAAATTATTAAAAGATTCAACTTGGTACACACTCAAAACAAAAATTTTAAATTAGTATTTCTGAATTCTGATTTAATTAAATTAATTCAATTAAATGCTTAATTACAGTAAAAATATTTTGATATAAAATATCAATGAACCACACAATTGATAAGACAATGATAATAATTCTGGTTACTGCGGTTAAAAGAATTAACCAACATGTTTCAGCGTTTTAACAAAAAAAGCGTTCCTAAATTATTATCAATCCACTGAACAATCCGCTAGATTAGATGATGAATTTAGGAACACACGGTATACATCCGGAAAAAATAAGTATAGTCCCGGACCGTAGAAATCCGGAATAAAATATTTTTCGGACCGTATATGCCGGACCGTATAATTCCGGAATTTAAAAATAATCGAACCGTACTGTCACGGACCGTAGAAATCCGGAATGTATACTCCCGGACCGTATTCTCCAGGAAAGAATAAATACAAAGACTGTATAGTCCCGGACCGTAGAAATCCGGAAAAAATAATCACACAACCAGTAATATACCGGACCGTATAATTCCGGAATTCAAAAATAATCGAACCGTATTGTCACGGACCGTAGATATCCGGAATGTATACTCCCGGACCGTATTCTCCCGGAAAGAATAAATACGTAGACTGTATAGTCCCGGACCGTAGAAATCCGGAAAAAATAATCACACAATATACCTATTCTCCCGTAATCCAAATTCTACACCCACGCCATCAAGCAGTGAAACATATCACCAAAAATGGTTTGAACTATAAAATAGGAGTTTCAAATAGGCAATTTGTAATGTTTAATAAAAAAAATTAAAATGTAATTATCTAAATAAATTTCTTTTTAGTATTCAAGATCAAAAATACTTGTTTTTTTTAATAGTATAACGTATAATTATAATAATAATTAAATCACATTCATACGTCTGGCGTGCTTGCCAAATGTTCACCACTTTTTTATGTACTTGCCATGTCGTGCGAAGGCAAACAATGTAGATACTTATTTAATCGTCACTTCTGTGTATTTGAAAGACTGTCGATAAATGTAACACTAGTCCAACCAAAAGTATTATTGGAAAACTAAGGAAAACTTATTTATACCATACTATAATACGTCTATACTTAAAATTATGTAGTACCTACCTATACAATTAGGTACCTACTTATTAGACCAATAGAAGTATAATATTTAGTTACCAAATTTGTATTTGTATATTTTGTGTAACATTAATATTGTACAGGTATATATGTATTATGCTATATTATTAATACAGAATTTGTAAGAGAACCTACTTCATTGATTAATCGTGAATGGTGATATTCAGTGTTTGGAAAGAACGTCGTTTAAAATTATTAAATGTTCAGTTTTTATAACTAAGGGTGGAAAATTTAAAACAATGATTCTCATAAACAATTCATACTGTAACCAAAAAATCTGATAAATATATAAACACATTTATTTTTTACAGATTTTCATTTTTTATTTTTTAAATTCAAATTTGGACAAAATTCCATATTTAAACCAAGAATAACGGTTTTAGTTATTTTTTATAATTTAAAAATATTATTTGTTGGTATATGAAACTTTTAGAGTATATTGTTATATTTTATATACATGCTATGACATTTTCAAATGTAATTTTTTTGGGAAAATTAAATTAAACCAATTGTAGTAAATACTAAAGCATAATATTAAAATTAATAACTTTATTCACAATAATATCATCAAATACACTTAGTAAGATATTATAGACTGACTGACCGTCTTCGCTCAGAACCGTTTTTCTTAAGCCGCGTCCACACTAGAGCACGCACAGACCGAGCATGTGTACTAGAGCACGCAAGAGCGATTTTGACGCACGGCGAACGCGAGCCGATCTAGTCGGCTCGCGTTCGTTGTGCGTCGTGAGCACACATGCTCGGTCTGTGCGTGCTCTAGTGTGGACGCGGCTTTATACGATGATATTATATCATTGAATTCAAATTTAACACAACCCATTACGGTGACTCACTTGTAACCTAAAACTGTACAGCAGAGCGACACCCACATGCCCACCTTTTGTATAGATTTTTTTATTTATTTTCCATTAATTTCAATTAATTATAAAATGTATAACTTGTTTGTTTTTCTTGATTAATTGATTTACCTTTGTAAGTTTTATTATATCTAAAAGATAAAATTGTTTGATCTATATAATTTTTTTTTATAGTTATAAGATTTCAAATGAGCAGCCTAATTTTTAGAACCAACTGTTAGGTTACATTTAACACAATTTTTGATAGATTGTTTTTTTTTATTTAAAACACATTCCATTTATTATAGATCTCAATTTCTTTAACTATAAGTTCAATTTAATCCATCCATTCTTTATTATAGAGAATATTATATATATTTTTTTTAATTTCGATTTTTGTAACTCTTTGTTGTAAAATGATCCTTCAATCTCTTCATTGTTTATATCTATAATTATTTTATTAGGTTATACTTTATAGGATTTGTATTTAAAATTTCTTTAAGTATAAATATTTCTCTTGTCCAATTATTACTATATTTATTACCAAATGTTCTTTTACAAGCTTTTATTCTTACTCTATCAAATACACTAAATTTAATTTGTTGTTTAGGTTTGTTTTTTGTAGAAATTAATTTGTGTAGAACAAGGTCTTCGTTAGATTGATTTACTTCACAAGGTTTCATAAAAATAGATCGATGTATGTTTTTGAAATTATATTCATCAAATAAAGTTTTTAAAATATTTTTTAGATTTTTTTTTAGATTTTTAACTTTCTCATTTTCCCGTTTAATGTTCGGTTAATCCTTTTAATTATTGCCGATTTTTCTTCGTTTTGTGTGTGATAGATATGAATACCATATTTTTGCAAAACATTTTTAAAATATTTATTTTCAAATTCCAAATCTTTATCAGCGTGAAGTAATTTTGGTGCTTGATTATTTTGTAATTTAGCTTATTCTATTATATTTTCAAATGCTTTTGAAACACTAATTCCAACTTTCTTTTTGAATGGTAGGTAAAACCCAGCAAAATTTTGAAAATGTATCTATAATAACAGCTATGATATATTTATAACATTTTCATCAGAATAACTAAATCAATAGCCTATAAATCTTCAATATCTGTAGTGATAATTCTTCTCTTAGGAAATCAAATCCTAACTTATTTATCTAGTTATTTAGCTAATAAAAGTTTGTTAGTAACACTTAATTTTTTATTTAAATTTATAGATTCATTAGAGTTAGTTTGTTCAACTTGAGGAGCTTTTATAAATTTACTTTTATTTGTTTTACATTTGAAACATTTTGTTGAAATTCTCCAAATCTACCACTGATAGTTTGAATCTCAATTGGATTAATATTTGTTGTTCTTTTTTTACATTTGTGACAATGTATGGCTACTACTAACTCATTTGTTGTTTCTTTTAGTAAATTTAACACATATTTTAGTAAACATTCAATACCTTTTTTGAGAGTATCAATTAATTTTTCCATGTTTTGCTTACACAAATGAAGAATAGCAATTTTTCATTATGAAAACCATCATTTAAACCTATAAGTAAACCAATAATTGAAATAAGGATTGACTATTTTCCAGAATTTTTATATAAAATAAAATATTATTATTAATACAAATATTAAAACTTATAACTTCATAACTGATATTGTAAGGCTGTGCCAGTTAAGGTAAGTAGGTAGCAGTGTTGTAAAAAACTTTTAAAAAGTATTCAATACGGAAAAAAGTATTTGAATACTTTTACTCAAGTACTTTACAACACTGGTAGGTGGGTTGTAGGTACAGTATAATTATATTTTAAATCTGCATACCATAATTGGAGATAATTACTATAAATAGAATTCAGTAATTTATCCATAGTAAATAATAATTAATAACTCTTAAGTAAAACTATGGGAGTATAATTGTGTCATAAAAAATTTTTTAGTTGTGCCTGAAAGAGTTAAAGCTCTTGTTGCCTGCAATATTAAAAATAAAAAAGGAGTATTAATATTTTTAAAGTACCTAGGTAACTTATAAATACATATTTAATTTGACTATAGTGAGCCTTTCTCAGTTGTTACGGGTGAAAAACATAATAAAAAATACTCTGAAGTATTAGAAACACCAGGGTCCAGGGTATGTATTATATATTGTTTTATTTTTAATTTAAAATTATACTTATAATAGGTAATTTATTATATTTATACTATTATACTTATACAGAATATTAGGTACTTATTTTAAATATTTTAAATTTCACACAGTTGAATAATAGAATGTATTTTATACATATAATGGAATGTTAGAGATTAAATAAACATCTAGATGATGTATTTAAAATAAATTAAAAAAAATCAACAAAAGCAGCCAGAAAAAATTTAAGAAAAGAAAATACGCTGAAAAGACACCTGATCAGTACGACATATAGGACAAACAGCATTATGTCCTGTTGATAACTGAATCATACAGTTGTGGCATATCCAAGCATGTCCACATGGAAGAACTATATATTTTGTTTCATTTTGTTCCAATGTTCCCTCAATACACACCATATATAATGACCTATTTTCTGCAGCTTGTGGATCATTATTAGCATCTAAAGGCAATTCGGCTACTTCCCTCTCCTGTGGTACTGGCATAGGAATGTTATCCATTGGCTCATGTAGCATTACCAGTGGTATATTTATTTGTGGATCATCTAAAATTGGTTCCTCTGCATCTTCATCATTTTTTATATCCCAATTTCTTTGTCTTTGTTCATATACTGCACTTGCATAAGAACAGCGTTGAAGGAATTGCCAAATAGATATTAGGCCTAAATCTAATTGCTCAGAAGCAGTTTTTATTTTTCTTGAATTTACCAAAAACTTAATTCGTAAATGCCTTGTTGGAACTAGGTTATTGTTGAGTTGATTTACGATGACGTGGTAATTTTTGTTCAAGTGAGTTAAATGGTCTGAAATAAATAAATTAAAAGCATCATTACACCTACATTTTATCAGACTGATGAAATTGAACATAATTTAATATAGGTGACTAATTCAATCACTATACATAACTCTTCTCACCCAAAAATATCCATAAGCTTGGGTGGTTAACTGAAAATTTCATTTTCAAAGCGTTATGAAAGCTTTCTATATTGTTGTTGGTTCTGCGTGGTAGTCCATACACAGAAACAATTTCTGGACCAACGTTCCTTAACCAATATCTAAGTAGGTATATAAAATAAAATATGATAGTTTGAATTATAATATTTTTAGTTATAAGGATAAAATTTTTATATTTTTAAATAGTAGTAGTTTAATAACAGTTTAAATTATATAATAATTTTTTTCTTTGTATTTTATTCTATATAAACAACATACCTATGTACTTATATACTATATATATATATATACTATATATATATACTATATATATACTATATATATATTATGTATTATTTTTAATAATTTGAGTGTAGATATATTAAATATATATTATATATTGTAGTTAGATGTACTAATTACCTTTGATAATAATTAAACAAATTGTCTAAATTAACTGCATGGTTTCGGGCAAATGCCATAATCAATAGAAATCCATTTTCAATACTATGAGCTGGTAACAGTGGAAGACACATCAACAATCGTAGAGATTTTAAAGCATTTTCATTATTATTAATATAATTTAAATAGTTCAATTTCTTCATTTTCTTCCACACGGCCTTTGTAAAAAAACAAATCAAATTAGGAAGTCATAGAAAGTAGATACATAATTAATTACTAATTATTGTTTACTTGATTATGATGGAACCAACAACCGACAGATCGGGCTCCTGGAAATGTGGATTCTAAGACATCTCTTAGAGCAGTTTCATAATCGGTAATTATTACTTCTGGTCTCAATGTTGGTAGTAAATTGTTTTTTATGAACCGCAAAACACATTCATAGGAGTTCCTTGTCTTTTTTTCCATAAGGACGTAGATGATAGGTATAGACTAAACATGTTAAAGTTTTTCTATCACTATTGAAGAAATCTAAACATCTCAATCCATGAAAATGTATTTATTTTACCTAGGTCTAATTCATTATGTAATGAAAAATTATACACATTTTACATTTTTACACACTATAATTCTATAAAAGTATAATGTCAAGATTAAAAGGCTGATTTTTTGAAATAGGTACCTATTCTACTTTCAATATTAGAAATGAATTTTTGTGGTATTTGATTTAAATTATACCTATTTATATCTATATGTATTGACTATTGATTATAGATTATTGTTAATTTATTATATATTATTCATTCATTTTTATTGGCCATTGGGTTATAACTTATAGTATTTTATTTTTGAAAATAAATTTAAAAAAAACTTACATAGTTTTGAATCATGCAATGCAAAGTTAATAACTGATACCCCATATTTGCAGGGACAACTTTGAAAGTAGCATCGGCGTGGACTTCTTGAATATTATTTTCTAGGACAGATCTAATCAATTGTGGACATGCAAAAATAACACTTGTTTTATTTTCTATATCCTGGATACATCCTTTAAAAAAACCAGCATCACAACACCCAAATCTCTGTAACTGGCCATCTTCAAATAATGTTGCCAGCGCCCTCAAGTTAGCAGGTAATCTTGGTAAGGAATTTCTTCTGGCTAAACGCATAATTGATTCAGCTGTTGACCACGGGTAAAGAGCAGCTGCTACCATGTCTCTATAGAATCAATTAATATATAATATTTATTGTTTTTAATTTGTGTTTATACATGTTATTTTTTTTTCAAAACTAAATCTAACAGTATAATATAAATTAAATTATATGTGTTGTTTAATAAAATTTCATACACTGTATTATAGTAGTTAGGTACCTACCTTCTTGCTTCTTCATCATAAATATTTTTTAATATTGCATTTTCTGTTGCTGCCCGATGTTTTAATACATTTCGAAAGTTATTTACAACAATTGTGTTGTCTGGTTCTCTTGCATGACCATTATGTCTTTTTACAACAGTTATAGTTCCATCTATTGATTTTTTAATTGATCCCATACAAAAATGAGATTGCGCTTTGTTACATTTAAAATAACTAAAAAAAAATTAGAAGAAATTTACACTACATGTACAAATTATAATATTTATCTATTACACCTACAATAAACAATAATTTAACCAAATAAATTTTATTAAAGCATCAATTAAATATTATATATAATTTTCAATATAATTATGTATTCCTACTATTCTAATCTACATTATCAGTGGCGGCTATCCTATGGTGGATGTGTTGCTTGTGCAACACACACAAAATTTGGAGGGTGGGTGGGTACCCGGATAGGTGGTTGGATACTTGTGTAATTTTTTATCATACTATGACTTATAATTAAAACAAAACAATACTAAATACAAGTTCTGGAATAAATCGTTTTCAGGTGTATGTTATGATTAATAAATAATTATGTTATGTAATTTTTAATGCTTGGTTATAAATAAATAAAGATTTTATAAAAGTAGCATAGAAATGTACATAGTAATAATATAGTATATTATATTATTTACTGCTCTAATATATTGCCTATAGGCAGGGGTCTTCAACCTTTTTATGCAGCGGGCCACGTATTATTTTTTAATAATCTTGCGGGCCGCATTCGTAGTAAAAACATGTATTTTATACAAAAATTCAGTTTTATTATTAAAATTTTCAAAATTACATTTTAAATTACAAATTATTATTATTATTATTATTATTAAAACATATATAGATTTTAAATTACAAATTATTATTATTATTATTATTAAACATATATAGATAAACATTTTTTGTTAATTACAAAATTTTTATTTTATTTTTAGTGTGATAACTGACACTGTTTTTCACTAACTAATTTGTTTATATTTGGTTGGATCTGCGACGAGGCAATTCTAAGTGAACTTTCCAAGTGACTGTCAGTTAACCGAACTCTATTTTTCGATTTGACAATTTTCATTCGTGAAAAAATATGTTCACAAGTGTAAGTACTGCCAAAAAGAGACATCATTCTTAATGCGTTGTTTCGAAGATTAGGATATGTCTCTGTTTTAATATATTTTGAATAAAAAATTGAAAGTTAAACATAATTGTACTTTTCTTTTAATACTTTATTGTTTTGTAAATCAATGATCTCAATTTGCATGTTTTCTGGGACATCTTCAACTGGTAATGAAAATGGAATTGAAAACAAATTAAAATATGTTTCATTAGCTTTGAAATCTGAGAACCTCAACTTGAACTGGTGTTTTAAATCAGAAATTGCTTCTGCATATTTTTCTGTTGAAGTAACATTGTATTTTGACATACATGGGAAGTGAGTTGTGTAGGTATAATTAAATTTATCTTATCGCATATTTCCGATAGCGATGGTTTAGCCGTTATAATTTTATCGAAATAGAAAATATACATGCTTAATTTCAAATGTGATCGCGGGCCGCATATTATGACAGGGCGGGCCGCGGGTTGAAGACCCCTGGGCTATAGGCTCAGTGGCGTACCTGTGGGGGGCGAAGGGGGCATTCGCCCCCCCCGGGTTGTATAAATATATGTGACAATATATGAGAAATGTCCATTGTTACATTTTTTTTGTGTTTTTATTTTTTATTTTTTTTTCATGAAGTCAATAGGCACAAATAGTGTGACGTCACATTGTCTATTGATAAGACCGACGGTTCAAAACAAGCTGTTATCACGGTTCATTCCATAAGAAATACATGGGTCGAAAAACATGCTTGAAAAAAATTGGTTTTAAGTGCATTTGTATATTTTTCTTAAAGTTCTAACTATTAAAAACATGTTCTTTACAAGTTTATACATATATACCGACCAAAAATATGAAGCTAAACGCTTTTTTCGTCAATATAATCAAAGTGTAGTACTTTGTATTTCAATGGCACACACATTATACCACATACTCTATAGATTATACACAAATCAGTTAAGTATTATAAATATTTTTTACTATTGCAATTTTTACATAGAAGTATGTACTATTTTCCCTCCATTTTACATAATAAGTATGTTTTATTACTATACTTAAATATATAATAATTTTTTGTTTTTCTTTTTGAGCCATTTGCTTGCCCTTAGCTTTGTTTTGACGGTCTTCAGTGAGCAAATACAATTTCTTTTTTGAAAAGATTTTTCAATGTGAGTTACTAATTAAACACATTTTACATAATATTTATTCCAAATTAAAATTTGTTAAATTAATGTTGTCTTAGACCTTAGTGTTAAAATGGTTCAATGTTGGGTTCCGCTGTGTTCTCACATTTCTAACCGAGAAACTTGCAAATTTTTTAGATTTCCAGCTAATTATATTGAATGTAAAGTCTGGGCTAAATCAGTGAGGTAAAGTATATTTCAAATAGTTATATTCTGTTAAATTTTCACATGCATAATTTATTGATTTAAGTTAAACCTTATTTTTCATTATACAACTTTTTACATGACAGAAGAGCAGATACATATCCCACAAAAAATAACAAAATATGTAGTTGCCATTTTAAAGATGGTTTAAGAGAAAATGGACCTACTCAATTTGAATGGAATAAAAACTCATTCTTTTCATTTACATCTCCTGAAAAACATACCAAGTATGCAAAAGAAAATAATTAACTTTTAGATTCAATTCAATATTAACTATGTTTATTATTGCTTTTTTTTTTAGTAATTGATTTGTATTATTATCATAGGCGCAAATCACCTGAAAATATTAGGGGGGCTTTTTAAGGAAACAGACCCAGCTCGTGAGGGGCTCCTCACACACCCCAATAGTACCATACCATATACATTAATAAAATATAAATCTCACAAATATAACTAAACATTTTAAGTAAAACAAATTAATTTAATTTATTATGCAAATTTAATGAAAATATAAGCCGGGATGTAAGCTTATTTTCAGCATACTTATTTAAAATAATTTCACTATTTAGAACTATAATATCTCTTTCAATGTGAATAACTGATAAATCTGATAGTCTTTAAATAAACTTAAATAAAATGAATTTTTAATAAACGTTATTGATGTTATTATGGAAATATTATGGTAGTAACATTATATAAGTTATAGGTAATTACGGGATTCGGGGTGCTATCATTAAAATTCAGGGTGCTAAGGGTTACTTAGCACCCCTGCGATTTGTGCCTATGTTTATTATTGTATTTTATAACTGTTAGTTTTCTTTGGGATTAACCTTGCTAGTGATGCTAGTCCTTTACTTATATCAATCCAGTCTACTAATCATACAAGCTAACTATATTATTTTATTTGTTCTTTAATAAATAGTTGTGGATATTAATATAATGTGTGTGTATATGGCTCAAAATAAATTAAATATGTGATGTATATTAAAAAAATAAAATATCTGTTTATTTATATTTTATATAACCCTGTATTTATCTCAAATTAATACTTAACTAATTATAACTTATAAATAATATTTTTTTTTATCGCTAATAAATGTGTTAGAGTAGAATGGAGTTAGAACAAAGTTGTATAAACTCATTGTAAATGGATTAATAAGTAAGTATTATTAAATTATTTATGCTAACATAATTATATGATGCATGCATAATTGTATTTGTATTGTCAGCATAACAAAATATTATTAGAATTAAAAATGAAATTTTAAAATCAAGAATTTGTTTTTTCTATTATTATATTAAAGGCGTAAGAAGGAAGACAGTGCATCATGTTCACAGGAAAACGAAAGTTCAATTATTATTGAAAATAGTACAACAACTGAAACTTATGTTTTAACACCTACAAATAGTAAAAGTGATGAAGTTGAAAAGTATTTTCTTCATAAAGAAATTGAAGAATTAAAAAAAGAAAAATTGTTTCTTAAAAATAACCCTTTTGGTTAAAACTCTATTGAATTTGATAACAAATTATTTGAGTTTTACTGTGGGATTAGTAAATCTATGTTTGACATAGTTGTTGATTTATGTTCAAAAGTTTCTTTTAAATATTATTATGATTGGAATGTTGAAAAATTTTGTTTAAAAGACCAAATCCTTATGACTCTTATAAAACTAAGATTGAATTTAGCTTATCCAGACTTAGCATTTAGATTTAAGACTAGTGAATCCACAGTAGGTAATATTATATTAACATTAATAAGTGTTCTTCATGAAATTTTATTTACTAACTTAATGAATACAGTACCTTCACAGAATAAGAACCAAAATTGCTTGCCAGAATGTTTCAATAATTTTCAAAATTGTAGAATAACATTAGATTGTACTGAAATTTCATGCGATATTCCTAAATCCCTTTTGGATCAAAAGCTCACATATAGTTCTTATAAGAATAAAAATACATTGAAAGGGCTTATTGGAGTGGCTCCTAATGGTCTTATTACTTATTCTAGTAAATTGTATCCTGGATCCACTTCTGATAAAAAAATTGTAGGCCACTGTGGAGTATTAAATATATTACAACCAGGTGATTTAGTGTTAGCTGATAAAGGCTTCCTAATTTCAGACTTAATGCCTCCAGAAACTTCCTTAAACATTCAACCTTTTCTTATGTCTCCGCAATTCACTCCAAGTGAAGTTCTGAAAACAAAGAGCATAGCTAGAGCCAGAATTCATGTTGAAAGGGTGATGATTAGGCTGAAGAAGTTTAAGATTTTAACACACATACCAAAAGCGCTTTATACAAAGTCATCATTAGTATTTCAACTATGTGCTGCATTAGTAAATTTCCAAAATCCAATAATAAAAGAAGTTGAGCATCTGTTTGTAAATAATGACAAGACATAAAATATAAATTCCAATATTCAGTTTTTATTTGTTAAAAAAATTATAATATTATGATAATTATTTACTATGTATACAAATATTAATACAAATAAAATTTTTTTAAATTATATTATGTAATTATTTATTATTTATATTATATAAAGGATATACATTTTATAATGAAAATGTAAGTTTTATTAATCCATTTGTTATAATAATTATATTATGAAATTAACCCAAGTATATTTATTATTTTTATAAGAAATTTCTAGAGTAAATCTATCTATTTCAAGTATATAAAATGTAATATATAGAAGGATATAAATTTTGTTATTTATAAAAATGAATTGTCTGTTAAAATATAAGGTATGAATTTATGATGGTAAAAATGTAATAAAATATCAATATTTGATGACCAATTTGGATCTTTATACATTTTGAAAGCAACTAAAGATTTAGTAGTCCATATAATAAGAATTGCAGATGACATTTTTGTCATGTGCATTTGACCTTGTATTTGGTCATAATATTCATGGTTGGAATTTAAAACGAAATCATTTTTATTTAAATCAAAGTTAATGATGTAATCTTTTGAATTTGAAATCGCAATTTTTAAGTCTTCATTCCGAAATTTATAAGGACACTTAACTTCAATGCAATAAGAAGAGTTTTCATCGAAAAGCAAACCATCTGGACTGGCTCCCAAAAATCCAGATTCATGTAACCAAATGCCAGTTTTAGTCACAATAGAATTGTTAGCCTTCTCAAACTCTTCAATTGCAATGCTTTCATGTGTTTTCCCCCATTCAATCGATTTAACTCCATCCACAAAATATTTTCCTAAGAGACCTTTAAAAAGTGAATTAGGATATCGATTACTTTTGACTGATTTTATTATTTTATGAAAATTACTCGAAGACGAAATTTCCTAGAAAGACACCATTTTACATTTGCAGATTGCCCTATGGTCTTTGAAGAAGGTATATCTTTAACCTGTTCAAAAGATAACTTACAAATGTCAGACAACATTTGAACACTATTTTTAGAATTTCTAAATTCTGAAGAATTAAGAACATTTTCCAATAGAAGAATATCACTTAAATCTTCAACTGGAGGTTCTGGACTTAAAAACCATGAAAATCCAACTGTTTGTTTAGTTGCTGTTAATTTATCAAAGCATAAAGCTTTAAAATCAATATTGTGTGTATCAGTAACAGCTTTAAAATTATTTTCATACATATCATCAATAGTCAATACTTCATCATTTTCTCTTACAGATTTTTTTGACCAGCTGCATGATATATCAGTTACAGATATATTATTATGCCCATGTAAAAGAAGTGAAACCATATGATGGCATTTGGTCAAACCTGTCGGACATGTACAGCTGGCATGTTCAATAATTTTATCTTTGAAAAATATCTGTAAAGATTAAATATTACAATTATTTTAGGAATCATATTATAAATGATACAATCAAAATTACAAAGTTATTTACCTTAACATCATACAATTTATTTTTCATACTTGCGTGCACTTGACCACTAAGTATACCTACATCAGGTATGTAATTAAAACTTTTGACATACCCACATTCAAAAGAATTTTCTCCTTTAGAAAATATTTTTTTATCATCAATAAAATTAATGATGCACGAAAGCTTGATGATGCTGTTTGACGTCATATTTTTTAACTGGAAAAAAATCATTTTCCTACATTAGTAAATTGATTAATGAAGGATAATATATATTATACTCACTTCAAAAAGGAAATTTGACACTTTATTTGCTCACTAAAGACTGCCGAAACAAAGCTTAGGGCAAGCAAATGGCTCAAAAAGAAAAAACAACAAATTATTAAATATTTAAGTATAGTAATAAAACATACTTATTATGTAAAATGGAGGGAAAATAGTACATACTTCTATGTAAAAATTGCAATAGTAAAAAATATTTATAATACTTAACTGATTTGTGTATAATCCATAGAGTATGTGGTATAATGTGTGTGCCATAGAAATACAAAGTACTACACTTTGATTATATTGACGAAAAAAGCGTTTAGCTTCATATTTTTGGTCGGTATATATGTATAAACTTGTAAAGAACATGTTTTTAATAGTTAGAACTTTAAGAAAAATATACAAATGCACTTAAAACCAATTTTTTTCAAGCATGTTTTTCGACCCATGTATTTCTTATGGAATGAACCGTGATAACAGCTTGTTTTGAACCGTCGGTCTTATCAATAGACAATTTGACGTCACTACTATTTGTGCCTATAATAATAAATGATAATTGATAACAATGTTATCATGTCATGATCAAGCCCTAGATTTTAAAATATTTTTGTTATCTATAGTCGAATCAGGTATTATCATTTTGTTTTGGCGGTTCGACCACAGAATTGATAATAAAAGCATGTGGTAATATATTTGTAGTACTCAATATTATTTTTAAAAAGCAATTGAATGCTTATCGCTTTTATACTTTCTACTGCTTCAGTACTTTAGTTTAAAAAAAAAGTTCTTTAAGGTCAAACATTTACATGAACATATTATTATTTATTAAGATAAATTAATAATCTACAAAATTGGCTTATAAATCTAGGCACCTAGACACTTAGTACCTACCTGTCCTACCTACTGCTTTTTAATTATTTAAATTTATTATTTGTTTTATTTTATGCTTGTGCTGTAGACTAAAAACATGGCTACGTTCAAAAATGAGTCAGGATCGCTTATGCGGGCTTGCACTATTGCACATTTATCAAGAAATAAATATACCAGTGGACGAAATTATTGAACGATTTTCTCGTATGAAAAACAGAAAGCTAGACTTTGTATTATAAATTATAATTATAATAAAATTATTTTATAACATACATTTTACTATATTATTATATTAAACAATAATTTCTTTTTTATGTACCTATTAAAATGTTTTATTTAATAGGTATTTTACAAGTATGAAATTTCCATTAGGTTAGATTAGCTGTGACGTGTACATTTTTAAGAATAGGTAAAAATATATTTCGCCCCCCCCCCCCCATAAGAGAGACCTAGGTACGCCACTGTATAGGCTATAGGTTTTTTAATTCTTCCTTGAAGTAATTTGTTATGTCTCAATTTAAAACTAAACTATGAACAACCTAAACTTTTGAAATTATGAGACTATAATATTATTATATAATATATTATCATCATCATTATTTTTTTTATAATATATACAATATTGTATATCCCAGATAGCAAAGAAATAATTTATGTACGTTATTATAATATTATTTTCATAATGACTAATATTACAATATTATTACTTTTCCATAATATTTTAGATACAATAATATTATTGTAATATTATAATATTATTATTTGGCCAAGAATATTTCTTTATAATAATATTACTACTAGAATGATGTTATTATAACATAATTTCATTGACGTAATAATATTATTATAAAAATTATGATAATAAATTGTTATAATTATCATATTTATGCATCTTAATAATGTTTTTAATACATTACTTTTACTTCAAATAGTGTTATAATATTGTTTTAGTTTTGTAAAAAATATGTCTAATAATATCTGTACTACCATATTATATGATCACAAAAACATGAGAATATTACTTTTGAAAAAGGAAATTAACTGTTTTAATAAATGTTCACAAATTAAAATAAACTGGTTAAACTTTATTTAAAGAAATAGAATAGCTGTATTATTACAAGGTTAACTTAGTAATAGTAACATAGTTATTACTAATAGTATTAGTGTTAAAAATTTAATTGCTTCATTATCTGTTAATTAATTTAATTTTTTTGGCTTTAATGCGGAATGTTGCACCAGCGATGTAAATCTTAATGGGCTCCTCTATATCTGAATTGGAAACATTTTCAAATACTTTTATTTTTCTTACTGCTTCTGTAATAATAATAAAAAAACAATATTAATAAAAGGTTATATAAATGAATACATAAAAGAAAGTAATATACTAATATGTATATATATATATATGCAATAGAATAAATAATTTGAAAATAAAAGTTATTGTTTCACTCAAGACACTGTAATATATTAACTTTATACTACAAAAGACATCATACATTTGAAAATATGATCTTTATATATAGGTATCAGCTATACTCAAAAATTGTAAACACCAGAATTTGAATAAATTATGTAATATTAAATAGAGAAAAATAGGAGTGAGCCCTGTATATATAATATCATATATTATAATTGTTTAACTTCTTTAAGACTTACTATAATAATATAATATTATATTATAGTTGTTAAATGTATTTTAGATTAAAAATGGGAAAAAGGCAATAATATTTATAAAAATAATTTATATATTATGAAATTAAAAAAATAAAAACAAGATCTGCCTGCTTGATCGGTTTAAAATAATATTTATAATACTTATAATATGTATAATATATATTATGTATGTATATAAGAATTATAAACTATAAATGGTAGGTAAATGCTTAAGGGGCCGTTACAGTTACATTTGTTTTCTGTCTTACAAGTGGGTAACATAGAAAATGATATGCATATCATATTATATTGTGTATTATATTATATTATAATATACTTTATATTAATATATAAATTGATATGCAAAATATGAATTTTTAACTTTGCATTTTTAAACTCAACATTGTACCTATGTGTAGCTCGGATTTGTAGCTTGATCTGCTATAAATCGAGAGCATACAGAACCATATGCAACTCCTATAAGTTCCGAACCTTAATTATAAATATGAATATAGTTATAATTCCATTCGCTAGTTAGTTTTGTTGTGTAATAATGCTATATAAATATTCTACTTTCATATACCTACACAAAACTATAATGTATATATTATTAATTAATATTAATTTGAATACACTATAGTTTGTTATATTAATCATCAACATACATTGTTAAATAGAAATAGGAATAATTAATAACTAGCTGTATATTATTAATATACATGGTTCATACACATTTATATATACTCTGATACTCACC